CCCATCATCGCCCCGTGGGGCTTGTCCGCCCGGGCGGGAGCAAGGCTCCATACCCATCATCGCCCCGTGGGGCTGGCGAGGCGAAGTGGGGGGAGGAACCGCGCTCCTGACCACCATCGCCCCGTGGGGCCGTCCGGATCTCTCCGCCGGAGCGCGCCGCGGCGGGTACCCAGGGCGACAAGCGGGGCCCGGCCTGGCGATGCATTCCCAGCCCCACCCCGCACTCACCTGCCCGGCCCGCTCCGCTCCGCTCCGCTCCTTAGCGACCAGCGCCGGAGTCGGGGGTGGGGCTGCGCCGGGAGCCAGCTCCGCCCCCGGCCCCCATAGGACAGCGCGCCCCCCCTTCCTCGAGGCCCCGCCTCCAATGCAGCTCCCCAGTACTTCGCCCTGCACCCCTCCCACTGTCTCAGCTCCCAGTACTGCTCCCCAGTATAGCCTCCTAGGCCCGGCACTGCCTCCAGCCTACTCAGTATGTGGCAAACACCATAACAACCCTTTTACATTTTTTATTGGAGATACAGAAAAGACATTTGAAATGTAAAGTATTAAGCGTGGCTTTTATTTGAACAGCATCCTTTGTTTCCCTTCCCTTTAGCTGCAGAGAGTTTTAGAAGGAACCCCCCCCCTGATTTGGCAGTCTGTTAAAGGGGATCAAAGACAATCATAGCTACCCTTTCGGGTTAAAAATAAGGAAAAGTTTGCTGAGCTGGCAAATGCTGTTGTTGCTATTGTCAAAAGTCCAACCGCAGGCGCCAACTTCCTCTCTACCTGGGGGGTGCACAGAATAAGATTAAGGGCAGTAGCCACAGTTAGGGTTGCCAACTTTCTAATCGCACAAAATTGAACACCACTACCCTACCCCTGCCTTGCCCCTTCTCTGAGGCCCTGCCCCCACTCATTCCAGCCCCCTTCCCTCCATCATTCTCTCTCCCTGGCACACCCTCACTCACTTTTACTTGGCGGGGGCAAGGGGTTGGAGTGCGGGAGGGGCTCAGGGCATGGGGTTGGGATGCAGGACAGGGTTTGGGATGTGGGCTACAGGAGGGAGTTTGGGTGTGACAGGGGGCTCAGGGCTTGGGCAGCTGTGGGGGGGGGGGCAGGGTGCGGGCTCTGGGAGGGAGTTTGGGTGCGGGAGGGGGTTCCATCTAGACAGCGCTTACCTCAGGTGGCTCCCAGTCGGTGTTGCTCCTGGAAGCAGCTAGGATGTCTGCCCCCTAGGCGGAGGCAGGGCCAGATGGCTCTGCGTGGTGCACGCTGCCCTCATCCACAGGCACCACCCCCGCAGCTCTCACTGGCTGTGGTTCCTGGCCAATGGGAGCTGTGGAGCCAGTGCTTGGGGTGGGGGCACCTAGGGGCCACAGAGACATGTCTTGCTTCTGGGAGCTGCATGGAGCCAGGGCAGGCACGGAGCCTGCCTTAGCCCCACTGTGCCGCCAGCTGGACTTTTAAAGGCCTGGTCAGCAGTGCAGACCGGAGCTGCCAGGGTCCCTTTTTAACTGGGTGTTCTAGTTGAAAACCAGATGCCTGGAAACCCTAGACATGGTGTAAGGTCTAAGGCCTTTTTTTTGCAGCCACATTAGGACAGCAGCAGCCATGAGCCAAAAAAACCAGAAAGTCACATCTGCACATTCCATCTAAATTACATTAAAACAATGAAATATCAGGCTGTTAAGAAAGCTGCTCCTGTCCTAACAGTAGCCAGCACCACCAGATAAAGAAACAGATCTTAATATGTTTAAAGAAAACTTTGTTTGATAAGTGATTCCTTGCAAGACAGAATACTATCAACAGTTGTGATTGTGAAATCTCTACTTCTTTATTGTTTTGCCTTTCTGGTCCCTACTTCTCTATTGTTTATCTGTATGGTTTCTGACTCGTTCTTTGATTGTCTATGCCTGTTGCATCACTGATTATGCAAGATTTAAATCAACTAATGTGGTGGGTATGATTGGGTAAAGAATTGCTTTGCAACATGTTAGGATTGGTTAGAGAATTATTTTGTAATATTTTAATAAAATGATTGGTTAAGGTACGCAGGACTCAAGTTTCACTATATAAACTGGGGTCCAAGGAGGAGACCAACTGGGAAAGAAAGGAAAAGGAAAAACGAAGAATAAGAAGGAAATACCGGGAAGAAGAAGAAGAACTCACCTCCAAGACACAGCCCAAGATCAGAGCTGCTAGAATCCTCCACACAACTGTGATGTGCAGCAACCAGAACCCAGATGAGACCGATCTTGCCAGGCCAACAGGGAAAGTCCTCCTGCATGATCAGCATTGAGCAGAGCATTGTATGCTTAGGTGTGTAATCTGCTTGGTGATGGTTAATAAATAGAGGTTAAGGATATTACTGTGTAAGGCACTTTCACCACGAAGAGGTCCCACAATCCGCAGAAGGTTACACCCTCAGTCCTAGGAACTGGGTAAGAGTAGGTGCCTTTCGCCTGGATCCTTAGGAACTGGGAAAGGGTGCGGGTGCCTAAATTAACCAGTGAGGGTGCCCTAGAGTGTGCAGGTAACAACAGAAGGTAAGAGGAAAAAGGAATTAGCTAGGTTTCAGGAATTAGCTAGTTAACTTGAGGAAGCAAAGGAGGAAGTTAGACAAGTCTTGTTGTAGGGGAATTTATGCTTCTACACCAGTGGGTCTCAAACTTTGTATTGGTGACCCCTTTCACATAGCAAGCCTCTCAGTGACACCCCCCTTATAAATTAAAAGCACTTTTTTATATATTTAACACCATTATAAATGCTGGAGGCAAAACGGGCTATGGGGTGAAGACTGACAGCTTGCAAGCGCCCATGTAATAACCTCACTACCCCCTGAGGGGTCCCGATCCCCAGTTTGAGAACCCCTGGTCTACACACAAAAATTGCATCTGTTTAAATGCAATCAGTTTAGTTAAACTGGTGCAAACCCCTTGTGATATTGCACTCTATATGTTTTATGGCAATATGCTAATGAGTGTGAATATAATATAACTGGAATATGCTTTATGCAAAAGGTCTCTTGTAAGGTATCATAACAAAGCTTATAATCTATGGAGTGTGTTCATCCTATTTGTATGAATGTGTCATTTCTTGTATCTGAAGCTAGAAATATGAATTATTACTCTGAAGTCCTATTGTAATTATGCAAAGTGTGGCCATTAATGGTGGTTTAGAATCCTGATGGCTCCCATTGACCAGGACAATTGGTTGTAAATGGCTCTGTTTACTTGTAAGCCGTCCTGTGTTCCTGTGAGTCAGGTGGGAAGAACAGAGACTTTGGGCTGGGCTACACTATGGGGGGAGGTTCAAACTAAGAAACGCAACTTCAGCTATGTGAATAGCGTAGCTGAAGTCAGGGTATCTTAGTTCGACTTACCTGGCCGTCCTCACGGCAGCAAGTCGACTGCGGCGGCTCCCCCATCGACTCCGCTTCCTCCTTTTGCGGAGGTGGAGTTCCGGAGTCGACGGGGAGTGCGTTCGGGGATCGATTTATCGCATCTAGATGAGACACGATAAATCGATCCCCGATACATCGAATAGACATACCCTTGGAGTCTCACAGGACATGTGACCATGTCACCTGGTACTGGAATCCATCTTAAACCTGGTGCTTTTCCATTTAGGCCTGGTCTACACTACAAGTTTAGGTCGACTTTAGCAGCGTTAAATCCAATTAAGCATGGATACGTCTACACGATGAAGCCCTTTCTTTCAACTTAAAGGGCCCTTTAAACCGGTTTCTTTACTCCACCTCCGACGAGGGGATTAGCGATAAAATTGGCCTTAGCAGGTCAGAATTGGGGTAGCGTGTCCTCTTTTTGCAGGATTGAAATATGGTAACCCTACTATAAAGTCACTGCACAGAGTGAATGGTAGCACAGCACATGAAGGTGAAACCCCTCCTGCCCCTGCCTGTGCCACAGCTTGCGACTCCATGGCTTATGCCTGCACTTAGACCTGCACTGAGGTATGTGCCAACATCTGCCCCAGACCCCTCTGGAACTGCCAGGCTTCCGGACATTGGAGGACAAACAAGGATAAAAATGACCCTGTTCAGCAGGAGCACCTGAAGCTCAGTCCCATGAGATTCCTTGGGTTATGGACTTGACACCTGCTCACTTTAAAATAAAAATAGCAAACAAGAAACAGACAAACCCCTTGTGACCAAGTGCCTTGACAACACACTGATCCCTCCTGCACATCGTCACTTGGGGCAGTAGCCAGCTGACTCTGACTGCCAGGGCAGGGCGGGAGATTTTCATGGAGAGGGATTAAGGGATAAAACAGAGTCTTTTGCTGGAGCAAAGGGAGAGCTTTTTGCAGTTTAATTTTACCAATTGATAAACCCACCATCCTGCTACTGCCCCAGCTCAGAGTCCATTGTCACTTCCCCTAAATACTGGCAAAGCATCTTGGTGGCCCTGAGACACACCCCTTAGTCTGGCCCTTCTCTCACATGCAAAACCCTCACTGATGCCAGAGCAGCCACCTCCCAGTTAGGTCCCCTGGCAGTCACAGCTCTTCGAGCAGCTCCTCTGGGTGATGCCCTCAGTGTCTGTGCAAAAACACCTAGCAGCTTTTTCCTCCTTGGGCCAGTGGTGAGTTTCCCTGCCTCTCACACAGGAGCCCGGGTGTTGATTCCCCAACAAGGAGGCTGCAATTTTGACACAAATATCCAAAGTTGGACACTGAGGTCTGGCCTATACTAGGAATTTCCTTTGGTGGAGCTACGTTGCTCAGGGGTATAAAAAAAGCCACCCCTTGAGATATGCAGCTATTGACCTTACCCCAGGTGTAAACCAGTGCTAGACTGACTCCCATCACCATAGCTACTGCCTCTCAGCATAGCTACTGCCAATGGGAGAAGCCTTCTCACCACTGTAGGTAGCATCTTCACTGAGGAGCTGTAATGGGGCAGCTGCACCGCTGTAGTGTTTTAAGAGCACACAAGCCCTGACTCAGATCTTCCTTCTGATCAGCCCTGAGCCAGGTCTCTATAACTGCTAATTATTCCAGCCTCTGGGAATGAGATCACAGTAGCCACAATTTCAGCTCTAGTGGCTCTTTTCTCTCACAGAGGAACAATGAACGAAGTCTGTTACTGTTCAGCAGGTGATGAATATCTCTCTGTGTTCTCTGCCGTTCATGGTGGGGAGTTTTCCTATTGATAACATTTCTTGCTGGGAAAGAGAAGAGGCGTTTTCTCTCTGTTTCACTTCTCCCTACCCGAGGAGTCTGGAGCCTTTGGAGCAGAAAGATCCCAGGAGCTGAGGATGAATCCAGGGAGTGAGTAGCTGGCAGGAAAGAGCCCTAGCACCTCTTCTGGGAACGCAGGTGAGGTATGACTCCTCCCTTCTCTAGACTCTCCCGGTGGGGCTAT